AGAACACGATTGGAATAACGGAAACATTTATTATTATTTTAACCAATTGTACCAGAGATTGTTTTACTGTATTTGTTTAACTGTATCAGTTTCACTTCTGCTTTCGCTCTCCGCCTTGTTTGGTTCGAACTTGCTCACGCACTGCTCATTTTGCCTTTACTCTTTGGCACGTCTCGGTATTATTTCGATACCACGAGATCGCCAATAAATATACTTGATCTGGATTAATAAAGCTTTCTGATTTACGGGCATTTAATGTACCAAGTCGTTTTTGGGCGCGTAAACGAATTGTAGTGGTGATCATAGTCCGTCTTCGACTCAACATCCACTACAAACTGGTGAGCCGTATTGGGAACACGCACAACATCTGGTGGACCACAACCAGTAACCCAATTCTTCGAGCACAGTTCAAACTTGGCCATTTTTTTAAACCCAGATCAATTTGGTGAGTCTGTGTATCTATCCACTTCTGTTGCATATATTCGTATTGATATTTTCAATATATAATATCTTGGCAACTTACTATGGTGGATAACGATAAGAGTAGTATAAATATAATAGACTCCGAGGTACAGGCTATTAATTTTCGACCGGTTCCTTTCATCTCTCATGATCCAGAAGTCTGGTTCGCGACACTGGAATCTCAATTTGAGATCTGCCGCATAACCAACCAAAGGCAAAAGTACGCCTACGCTTTGGAATCATTGCCCGGGGATCACCTAACTGCTGTTCGTGAGGTTGTCCTCAATCCGAACGTTCCGAACGTTTACGACCGTCTTAAGGATGCCATCCTTCGACAGTTCCTCCCATCAAGTGAGGAACGATTGGGGACTCTCTTAGCACGTCACCCTATGGGTGATGCTAATCCGAGCCACCACCTCACGCGCCTGCAATCCCTTGCAGGAAACTCGACAGCAGACTCCGAAATAGTCAAAGAGTTATGGCTCGAAGTATTACCAGCTAGTATCCAACCAACTCTTATGGCCCTGCTCGAGGACACCTCACTCAACAAGGTGGCCCTCATAGCAGACAAGATTCTACCACGTGCTAGCGCCAAAGACAACTATATTGTTGCCTCTACTTCTCGTTCAAACATGGATTTCGATGCTAGACGACCTTCGGCTGATGGGGATAGGGATAGATGTATCCATACTCGTCTCAGTTTCCGAGACCGCTCAAATGTGCCAGCCCCCTACGTCCCCCGACCCAGGTCACGATCTCGAACAGCCGTAAAGACTCGCCCCAAGCGGGCATCTTCCAAGCCACGCCAGAAGGCGGTTTCGGAAGCGAGTTTGAGTTGGTGCTGGTTCAGCCGTGCCTTCGAGGCCGGTGCCCGTCATTGTCGAGCTCCGTGCTCATACACGGCGAGAACTTCCCGAGCCGGTGAGTAAATACGACCTTACTCACCGGCCCTTCACCTCAGTTTGACCGTTTATTTTACGTGCACAATTATCGCACTAACGCTAGGTACCTTGTGGATACAGGTACCCAAGTATCTGTCGTACCTATCAGTAACAGTAAGTCTCAAGCTACGATGCTTCGACTACGCGCTGCGGATGACTCAGTCATTCCTAACTATGGTATACGACAACTTACGGTCAATCTGAGCAAACAGCCTTACGAAGCTCTTTTTCACGTGATTTCCCGTCACGAAAAGACCTTCAAGGTTGATCGACATGGCCGCGTCAAAGTAGTCAGCATTGATCGTCTCATTCCAGCACACGTCGATGACAGTGCCCTACCTGATAAGCCGAGACCCAATGCTAGACCCATCAAATCTTCTAGCGGGATCTCTACATCTACTTCGGATCCCACACTAGATGCACCTGAGACCTCATTCTCACGTCCCAGTCAACAGCACGTATCATCTGCCCAGTCTACGGACGAGACTTCCATCTCACCTCCAGACCAGCAGACCACACCGCCCTTGACTGTGGATGAGATTGCAGGCTCACGAGGTTCGAACGAGACTACCGTCTCACGTTTCAGTCGCCGAGTACGCTTACCCGTACGCTTTCGCGACTAACCTCATAACCAGCAGCGGATACAGTATAGGACCTTAATCCTATACTACACGAATGCTACACTTTTTTCTTTTTCTCTCATGTTTTTTGTTTACCTCGAGCCTACGCCTCCGACCATCGCTGTCACGGTATCGTCGACTTCAGTCAACTTTGGCGAAAGCTGGCCTGATCACCCACGCTCTAGTCAACGCACTCAGTCGACCTCTCTGGGTCCAAATACGTATGGTATACATTTGGTCCCGAACATGGTTATCCTGGTCTCATCTGGTTCCTTGGCTCAATCTGGTTTCGTCCTACGTCTGCAGCGTTTCTGGTCCGGACCTCTACGAACGCAACCTTCAGATTCTGGATACAAACCATTCCGATGTAGCATGCTAATCCAAGCAATCAATACAGTACGTTCCTTCTGGTACCGTTCTACGTCAAAGACTTTTGGTGGCAACTCGAAGATCAACGATCACTCCCTGTTCTGCCAACGCCTTCGTCCTACAATTGCAGGTTTCGCGATCAATCCCACGAATGAAACCGCTACGTATCGAAAGTGTAAACCCTTTCTAGCGGAGGGCTCCTGTAGTGACCGGCCAGTCTCGATAAGAACACGATTGGAATAACGGAAACATTTATTATTATTTTAACCAATTGTACCAGAGATTGTTTTACTGTATTTGTTTAACTGTATCAGTTTCACTTCTGCTTTCGCTCTCCGCCTTGTTTGGTTCGAACTTGCTCACGCACTGCTCATTTTGCCTGTACTCTTTGGCACGTCTCGGTATTATTTCGATACCACGAGATCGCCAATAAATATACTTGATCTGGATTAATAAAGCTTTCTGATTTACGAGCTATTAAAGGGACCAAGTCGTTTTTGGGCGCGTAAACGAATTGTAGTGGTGATCATAGTCCGTCTTCGACTCGACATCCACTACACAGTAAAGGCTGACATTGGATACACTGTATCTCAACTCGTTTAAGGAAGGACACTCCGACTTCCAGGAGAATTGGTATATCCTTCGTCCTCCTCAGTGAACATGGATCTAAACTCCTACACAAGCAGGCTTGTAAACGCAATGCGTTCAGTTAAACCTGCTCGGACTCGACCACAATCAACTGATGATTTCGTTCAACCTTACTTACAACATAGTACACACGTCTTCGTCCGTCGAAACTCACATGGACGACCTCTTGAATCAGCATACGAAGGACCTTTCATAGTTCATCAGCGTGAACATAAGTACTATGTAGTCGATAAGAACGGTAATAACCATAGCATCAGTATCCATCGCCTCAAGGAAAGAAATCCTACCAACATTGCTTCCACACTTGTGGCACCTCACCCGACAGCTGACACGCACGTTGATACTTCGTCAACGTCTAAACATAAACTTAAAACAACGCGTTCTGGGAGACGATTCGGATTACAGGAACATTTAAACGTCTATTACACGTAAGACAAGCTGTATCTCGCATTTCCATTTCATTATACATTATAAAAAAATGAGTATGCTCATACTTATATTTTTATTCCAAAACAATTTTTTCTTTTACTAATAAGCGTTTTTTTTAAAAATCATAGAAAGTATTTTTTTCTACTGCTTTTACGCTGTTGCAGACGCATTAGTTTATTTGCTTTTTTTCACTCACCTTGTGTCTCTACGCAAGTACGAGTGTATTTCGACATGCACTAACACGTATTATTTTACTCTTTTACTGGTCGGCTGGAAAAGTACGATGAAGGTAATGAAGAACCGAGATTTCGATTGTATTTTGTTTTACAATTACTATACTGTATTATATGGCTCATTATAGCAAGGAAAGATGACCGGACGCTGCTAAACATAGCAAGCTATCAGAAGAGTGTTTACCGACGACAAACTCGTTGGGTTTAAACTTCTGGCTGGCTACGTCGTAGGGCATCACTACCTCACTAGAGGGGATTGATCTGTAGCCGTAAATAATTCCCCAAAATCAATAACTCTGTAAGTGTTCGACATTGAATACTGTTCACACTAGTTTTAGTGGACTCATTTAGCTGAAGGCGCTCGGTCATGTATCACGTTTCAGAACGGTGTGCGAAATGTATCGAGCCCATTCAACCATTGCATTATTTGTGTAATTTAGACATTTGTAAGCTTAATTGTGAGTCTGTTCGAGCGTATGTGTTTGCATATCAATCTTTAATCTATTCTCTCATTGGTTGTAAACAAAGACAACCAATAATTTATCCACAATCTAATAAAACCCATAAATATATATGGATTTTTTAACACCTATGGAATCACACACGCATACTCACTCACTTGTCTTCCCTGTGTGCTTGCTATCTATACGTTTGAGGATTTTTACCAAACTTCAACAATAAACTATCTATAACTGGTGTTCAGGCTTTTGAATAATCTTGAGTAAACCCGTAATTCTACTAGGAGATTTAGTCTGCATTGAATATTCTGTTAACAAGATATCATTTATTTACTGGAGTCAGATATGGAGGAATTAATCCTCTAAAGAAACATCTCCTACGATCATTATGCAGATTTGATCAGCCACTTCTCGATATATTGATAACCCATCAAATATATATCCCAACCTCCTTGCTTCTGACTTCTGATTTTAACTAGGAGGGCGCGATTTGATTATAGAAGGTGTTACTGGTAAAGTGTTGTCAAACTACAATACCGGTGGAATCTTCAACTCTTCATCTCTTAGCGTTAGAATTTTCGGTTTATTATTTTTCACATTGCAACTAATCAACTACCTGCCTGATAATGTGAAAGGCGCTGTTATCCAGAAACTATACTGTTCCGAGACAAACGCATTCACTCAAATTACAAAATCTACAAACCCACAAATAACTACCAAACTGACTATAAATAATGCAATCGAATGACTAGAATACCGCCTATTGAAAATTATTACAAACCTGGAGACGCAACAAAACAAATAGACCTTAGCTCAAAGAAATCATTCGTTATACATAACCTTGTCTCAAAGACATTGTATATTGAAAGGGAACTCCGTGTTTTCAAATCTCAAGGATGGCGTGCTGAGTTGTTGACAGACATAGGTCACATTTTATCAACAACTATCCAATATGGACACAGTTTGTTACAGGTCTAGTCTTTTCATAGGTTGTTTGTAGAAAAAACTTCCTGAGAGGTTCTTCAGGAAAAAGGCAGAGGCTTTCAACCGAAAGGTTAAATATGCTAAACAAAGTTTCACTCAGGTTGCGGCACTACACAATGTATTGCCTGGGTACGTTGTGTTTCTCTTCTTTATGGCATTTAGTTCTCTTGAGAAGGAAAATGTAAACGAGATGATCACTCAAGATATCATGGTGAAAGAAGTTGATATTGGTTCCGCAACCAAGGTAAAATAATATAAGCTTAAGGTGGATGTTAAAATTAGCGTTTTGATGTTAAACTACAGTATGGGCCGTATGCAATCGATTATTCACGAAACGGCAGGTAAATTGGATACCAAACTCTTGTAAAAGAAGACAGATTTTTAGCCCTGTGTGGTAAGTCAGGTCACATTGCAGCGTTCGACTGGATGGTTAAGAAGCCTCTTTTTGAGATCACTGTCCCTAACGAATGCAGAGATGTTAAGTAACAATAAGTTATTAATCTCTCAGGTTTCTTCACCAAGAAACGTTCGTTGCCGTTGCAGAAAAATATGTTACTATATATGACAATCAAGGCTTAGAAGTACATTGTTTAAAAAAACTACATGGGATATTACGAATGGAGTTTCTTCCGTATCATTTTCTTCTTGTGTCTTCTGTAAGTTTCTGAACCTAAACTTTAATTTAAGGCTGACAATGGATTTCTTTACTACCTAGACTGCACAATTGGTACAATTGTTGCTTCAATACCTACATATATGGGGCGCCTTGGTGTCATGTGTCAAAACCCTTCCAACGGAGTTATTTGCACAGGGCACAACGATGGCGTTGTATCTATGTGGGTACCTTCAGAGAAGTCATACGTTGTCAAAATGTTCGCACACCCAACTGCCATTACTTCAATAGCCTGCGATCAAACTGGAAGGTTAGCTTTTATGATAAATCCATTACTTTCGATACATTTCGAATTCATATCCAACTGAATCTTCTCTCATATATCTATATATATTACTGAACACCATTTTCATTCAGTTCATTCAAAGCTGATTATGTTTCTCTCGTGTAATAATTAAGATTACTGATGTGAGAGCAGTTTGTAATCTTGGTATTTGCTGTCCTGCGTCATGATAGTTGATATAAAGCAATACATTATGTGAGTAATTCAGTTATGAGAATTATGAGTATTCAAATAAGTACACCAATTAGGGATCTACGAAATAGTACAATTTACGGCAAGGAGAAATAAGCGAGCACCAATGAACGTATTTCATTTGAAATTTGCAATCAGCTGTCCATCAAATACAAAGGAACCATTAGTTCGTACAAATACCACAACCGCCACAGCTTAAATGGAAATCCGAAATCTTGTAATCGATTGTACGTCTTCTACTTGGGTTCATCATATCTGTCCGACTGTATTCGTTAATCTCTGTGTTATCTACAGTGTACTCATTAGAATTTACAACGGAATTCGGAACGGACTCACCTTGGTTTTTGTAATGTATTCTGACGTTGTGACTAGCTCGCATATGAGCCACAAATTTGCTAACCATTATTAGCAGACTTTTCGTAGAATGTGGGAAATCAGTTCTTGGTTGGAGCTTTTTCTCTCCAAGCAGCTTCACCATAGTTTCGCGTACGATCTCGCGATTCTGCTCTGATGAACTTAATCTACTCTCCTATCTGAGTTTTTGATGCTAGCGGCAATAGTAGGATTGACTTTTGTTTAAAACGTTTTGGGGTTTCTTGCTTAAACGTTAGAATGAGAGGGCTTTGGAGTCGTGCGTATTTTTTCGCACTTCGATTCCGTAGTTAGCAAGTTACCAAACACTTCGTTAGAACCGTCTTCAGTGGTCAGCAAGGAGAGCTGTCCCTGAACCCTTCTTTACTTTTCTTGACTCAGGATAGATGGTCCGCAATCAGTGATTAGGAATTCACAATTTATAGTTAGTTTATCGTCTCTAATCAGCAGATTATAACATCCAAAAATAGGAAGCTTATGACTTGTAATACTCGAAATAGTAACTTTGGAATGCTAAATTGTAGCATCGGGTATCGATGACTTCAACTTTTCAGCTGAAATGATGGACTTGATACTGTCGGTGTCAACAATAAAATCATGAAAAGTACCACTGGACAAACAAAATGTTTTTTGAATATGAAGCGACGCCAATATGATAATCATAAGTATTCGAAGTAATGTACTAACTAGGTGTTTCTAAAATAGTGGAATTTACAGCAAGTAGAACTAGATAAGCTTAAATGAACATATTATATTTGGCATTCGTAATCAGCTGTCCATCAAATACAAAGGAATCATTAGTTCGTACAAATACCACTTAAGCTTAATAAACAATCAAGTTTTCAATGATAAAGCATAATATTGGCATCTGTCTTTTAGGTTTAGTTGATTGTTCTTGTGACTGAATTTAGACGATCTCAGTCTTAACACTTGACCAGTCCAAAACAGAGGGTGTCTTATGGGTACCGCTTTTGATAAAAATCAATTTTTGGTTACCTAAGTTCGTGTAGTAATTATCCTTATACATTGCAGTTATTGTCAAAAGCTGTGTATGTTGCAATGTATAGCAGGCTTACCTTTTCTGAAGTTAAAATTTCAAACACATGTGTTACAAAGACTCAGCAAAAATTGTTTGGTTTCATTCTGAACGGCATACCACCTCAATTAGCGTTTTCGTATGAAACTCGTCTTTCTAATTTGCTATCGTTAGTGGTAGTGGTAGAGGAATTCAATGAAATGATACTATATTTCTCGGTTATGGAGATCCGTAGTGCCTTTTTTATTTATATGCTAATCTGGAAACCACTATGAATCCTCCGTTTCTTCAAGCTTTATTAGGCAGTCTTTGATCAAAAGATAGATTGGCGAAATTACTCGCTTAACCTAATTCCAATTACTTTCGTATTGTTTAAAATTGACTGGTTATAAATTATCTTTTTTTCCACAAAATATCTCAACAGCCGGAGTTCTACATTTTTCGCACTATTTGAACGATGTATTTGCTCATAGCTCATTCTTTCTTCACTTTCACCTTTCCAGCTACTTGGCAACCTGTGGAGTTGACCGAAAACTAAAGATTTGGGATTTGAGATTCTCCTATGACCCTCTTTCCGAAATCTCGCTGTCTATCTCTGCTTCAACAATTAATTTCAGTCAGAAAGGTTTATTAGCATTGGGTGCCGCTAATACCGTACAGGTATGATACTTCTTGTTATGATTTAGTTTAGTAATTAACTTATCGCATCAAGTGGTTGTTTCTCCATATACCACACCATACTTCAAACTGTTTACTTTCTTTATTTTCATTCATTTGTTGTGAATATACTCCTGAAGATAACAATTTCTTTGCCTGATCGCTCTTGTATTTCGACCCCTATATGAAGATATCGCTTTGCCTTATATTTATTTATTTATATGAACACAAATATTGGTACAAGGTGGTACCTGATATATATGCGCCGCACAAATCTCATTTGATTTGTGTGAGGACTGTGATACTGCCCAGGTGCCCAAACCGAGTCATTCAGTCAGCTACAACGTAGGACCAGGCACATTTATGCATCAGTCCAAGTTGCCATACCTCGTTAGCACAACAAGATGAACACTGGATTCATAGAAATAGTTGATTTAGTGATGGTAGTATATAAAAGATAGGTTGCATATAAGAATATAGTATAGGAAGGAAAAAAAAGTTATGAAGCAATTTTAATCGCAAGGTTTAAGGGAAGATAAAGAGTGTATACACCTACGCCGTTGTGATCGATTCTGAGCCATGTCACCCAGAGTCTCCAACCATTGGTTACGATAGTCACGCGGACCCCAACCAGGTAGTCTGCATCTACCAACATGGCTCAGACTAGAAGTTAGTGACTTCAAGCACTGATGCCATGTTTTGGTTTGGCCGCCCCTTACTCTCTTCCAACCATCCCCTACACTGGTCAACATTGCGCGTCGTGGTAATCGGTGTTCAGGCATACGTAACAAGTAGCCCAACCATCTCAGTCGATGAAGATTCATGACCTCATCGACTGATTTACCATCATTCCCTAATACCCTGTGTCTAACCTCACTATTACTTACCCCTACCACTATGGGATTTGAATCGACAACTTCATCTCTGTGCTAATGTGGTATGGCAACTCGAACTGATGTACGTACGTACAAAGTTATACGTTGTGACTGCCTGATTGAACCTCACTGTTACTTACCCAATGATCCCAGCAGATGCGAGCAATATTTCTAAGGCATCTGTGGTCAAATACTAGTAACTTCCGAGTGTCTTCTACTCTTAATGGCCATGTTTCACAGCCGTAAAGTAGAACAGAGCGAACTGCTGCACAGTATACTCGTCCCTTAATTGATAGACGGATATCTCGTCTTCGCCATAGGTGACGTAAGTTGGCAAAAGCCAAACGAGCTTTTTGAATCCGTGCTGAGATTTCACCAGGCACCAACCCATTAGGGCTGATCAGACTTCCAAGATAAGTGAAGTTGTCCACGCGTTCGACTACTTCACTCCCTATCCTTAGTTCAGGTGTTGACGCAGACCAGTCCTGGAGTAACAATTTACATTTGGATGGGGAGAAACGCATCCCAAACATCCTGGCATTATTACTCAGTTCTAACAGAAGACTGCATTTTGTTAGCGTCTTCACCTAACAGGACTGTCACCTGCATATTCTAAGTCGCTTAGTGGACCACCTGGTAGGAGATCAATTCCTGAAAATTCAGTCGAAGAGAGTGTTATTTCCAGCAATAGGTCTATAATGAAGTTAAATAAAAATGGGAATAGTAGACAACCTTGTCGGACACCACTTGAGGTTGTAAAATCATATGACAGTTCGCCACTAGCTCTCACTCGACTGGTAGTGTGCGAGTAAAGAGCCTTCACAAGGTTTATCTACTTCTGAGGTACACGTTTCAGTGACAGACACTGCCACAGAAGCTCTCGGTCTACAGAGTCAGATGCTGCTTTCAAGTCAAGGAAAACTATCATTGTCGGACGCCGATAAGCTTGTCATTTCTCCAAAACCTGACGAATAGTGAATATGTGGTTGATACAGCCACGAACAGGTCTGAAGCCAGCCTGATTTTCTTGTGTTTACAGTTCACGAGTCTTAGGCGTCCGATAATTATTGGGGCTAGTATTTTAGATGCTATGTTAGTCAGACTAATCCCTATATGGTTATCGCAGGATGATTTTGGCCCCTTCTTATATATTGGGACGGATGGGATTATATCCAACTCCCAGATTTTAGCCAAAATATTAATCAACCTAGTCGCTAAAATTGGACCACCATACTTCATGACCTTTGGAGCCAATCCATCTGGACCAGTTGCTCTTCCTCGTTTCAGATTAGCTATAGCCTATTGAACTTCAGCTAGAGTCGGGGTACCTACTTCAATGTTCCATTCTGACTGTTTGGGAATTGTGGGTAGTTGTGCAGTAGCTAAAGGCCAGCTGAACTGCTTCTTAGTGTTCTGCCTATCGTTCTAAACGTCTGGGCTGAGAGCAGATAAGGGTTCCGTCTTTTTCCGAGATCGTTTCACTTACACTTGACTTCTTAATTCCAGTTTCTTTTATTGTTCTGAAGAGTTGTCTGGTGTTGCCTACAGCGGCTGCCTTTTCCATCTCTTTTGCTTTCGTTGCCCACCACTGCTCACGACCGTTGCTTGAACTTTTAGTCAACCTTGATTTGCTTTGTTTACGCTCTTCGTCGTGTTCAGAGCCTGATGAGATGAATTTACGCGAATCCATCAGTGAAATAGACTTGGAAGAAATCCATTGGTTTTCTGGAACCCTATGGTTTAAATTACTAACAGATGTGACTGCTGTTTCCACAGCTGTTCGTGTGTCTTTTCAAGCAGCATCTGGGTCAGTCTCGTTTACAGAACTGCCTAGATGTGAACTCAGTAGTTCCTGGAATTTACATTTGGCTTTCTCGTCCTCCAGTTCAATCCTAATGGATCTTCTTAGTGTAGTTTTCGTGCGTCCAGTGAGGCGCAGACAAATGCGCGCTAGTATTAAAGCGTGATCAGAGTCTAAACAAGTATTCCTATACAAGCGACAATCTTCTATCTAGCCTCTCCAACGATGACTAATGGCAATATGGTCTATTTGAGTCCATCGTTGGTCTGGTGAAGGTGGTCGCCATGTTAGACGATGTCTCTCCTTATGCTTAAAATTAGTGCTTGCTAAAAATAAACGATTGTCTGAGCATAGTTGCAACAGACGATCACCGTTATCGGTTCGTTGAGCCGGAATACTAAAACACCCACCTAAATGTCTTTCTGTTTGAATTAAGCTGCCTACCTGGGCATTAAAGTCACCCGCTACGACTACTGTAGTGAACAGATCACTGGTTGGGAACAATGGAATGTATTTAAGCAAAGATTACAGACTATCTCAATAAATTCTGATTACCAAACAATGAACAGTCAATTTGCAAATTAACAACCAATTGTTTCAATCTTCACTGTTTCTTCTCTAATTCCATTGCTCATGCATTTTCCAGACGTTTGCGTTTCATTTCAGTTCTTTCCTCATCGGTCTTCTGCCAAAATACATTCTATGTCTGACCCACACCATATACTACTTATATAGATATAAGTAGACCACACCACACTACTATGTCTGAGCGCTTAGCTTTCTGAAGAAGCTCAGAGAGTTTTCTGTAGAAGTCATCTTTCATTTCATTATGGCTGCAGTCAGTGGGAGCGTAGGCAGAAACGACAAAAAGGCAACGACGTGTGTCTCTATCCTAGCGAGATTTTACGGAGCCATTTAGCCAGACAGCACACAGGCGACTGTTAACGGGATCCATTCTAGTAGTGCTTGTTCTGCCCTCGTACTAAGCGCTATTTTTACACCTGCCAGTCCACGAGAACTAGTCAGATACACGGAGGGTGTATTTCGTTGGCTGTGTATTTTGGCGAGGTGAGGTCAAATGAATGACCACATCAGGATCCTGTATGCGTGTTTCGGAGACACAGCATACACCGATGATACGAGATTCTAGGGTCTTATCCAAGGAGGCCTGTTGACCGATTTGACTTGTAGTACGTACGTTGAAGGCTCCAATGTGTAGCTTGGAGCTAGGTTTTAGTAGACCTGGGACAGCGTTTCGCGCACAAGAATCGTTGGCCATGGTGACACTTAAGGAGGGAACCGAAAGAGGAAGTTCAGTGTTGAAAGTTGAGGTTGAAGGAATAGTAGGAAGTGAAGAAGGAGATTGATAATGAATACAGTGGTCTTGAGTGCTGTTAGAGGTATGAGGGCAGTTATCACTTCCCGGTTGCGCACACCAAAGCAGGTGGTTTTCTTAGGGGGCCACACCCGGAGCTTTGCCTGGTAAAAACTGACGAAAAATAACCTTCTGAACAAAGCACTTTGTGACAGTACAATAGTTTGTAGGTTGCGCTGGTCTCCTTTCAAAGATAAGGAACGCATCTGGATTATATGGTATCATTTCTCAGTCAAACACAAGAGAGTAAGCAAGTAGTGGGCATTGAACGCCACAGACGTCTACCTTTTGTTATTTCTAACTTATTATACTTGTGTAGGTCGTAATTATTTGATCATAAATGTGTTATAATCATTGCTCGTGTAAGCCGAAATTATGTTATAACTATAATTGGATAAAATGTAGGAGTAAACAGCTCATAAAATAATATCGGTCTATGAGATTATCAACTTTAGATCCTAGCGTAGTCGGGATGTGAAATTTACCAGATAATTATGGCCCTACAGTTGGAACTCTTTTGGGTACTGATGCAGGTAAGTGGGTTAAGTTTTTGTTTAAATCTCGGGTTTGTTTTTTACTTTTAATTTCCTGAAGTCGTTTCTTCTGTTTATATGAAGGAGTGAAATATAGCGTGTCTAAAACTGGAACTAAAGGCTAACGACCGTATATCTAGTTTGTGATTGCCTGTTATGAAGAAAAGTCCTCCCCATTTTGAATAATGACAGCCATGACAATAGACAATATTTATTGCTACGATTTGCTATGGCCGAAGTAGTGCTTTGAAAAGAGTAATAAATCTACTGTTATCAAAATATTAAGTTATCCTTGATAATATTTACGATGAGTAGATAGTTATGTTTTATTTTCCATTTCACATAAACCCACGATGATTTCAGTATTGTCTGTGATGAAGTACTATGATCTATAAAATAAGGTTTTATTTTAATGAATCTTAAGTAGTATACACGTACTTTTGTCTAATTTCTGCGCAAATCATTTTTATTTTTAAAAGGTTTTACGTGATCCCCATTCCATTCCACCGTCCAATACATCAAAAATCTTTGAAATCATTTCACCTAATGTTAACCGACGAGTACTTTCAAATGCTTATCTTTCTCACTATGCTGTTTATCCAGTTCATCATGTACGCTTTTGTCCTTATGAAGATGTTTTAGGGGTAGGTAGTTCCGCTGGGATTTCATCCATTCTTTGTCCTGGGAGCGCCGAACCTAATTATGATGCTTTAGAAGAAAATCCTTTTGCCAATAAACGTTATAGGCAAGAAAGGGAAGTTAAACGACTTTTGGATAAGGTAATATTGTTCACACGTTTTCATTTCTACTTGCTAGTTTCGTTATTAGTTCTGTGTTTTTCTCAAGTATGTCCTTCATATATCGATGTTCATAAAATCTGTTTCAATGCAATTTCTTAACATTGTTAATAACTGGTTTTGGGATTTGAATTCAGTTAGATTTTAGTTTTAAATATGTTTGGTTCCATTGAATTAAATAAATTCTGCGAATACATACTTACCAACAAATATCAATGTCATCAGAGGATTACAAGCAACTTGAGAGTATTCAGTAGTTAAAAATCCTCAGGACCACTTTAACAACTATCTGCCGAACAAACCTACTAAATCAGATATTCAGAATCTGCCAAATATAAAGTAGTAATTAGATTCCAGAAGAGTTACAGACCTGTCATTTATGTCACCAATTCAAGAACCACCTATGTAATCTACCAGGAGATTGAGCTTCATCGAGTACTATTGCTTATCAAATAAACCAATGTTATTAGAACATGAGCGTATTCTGTGATTGTTCTAATAAACTATAGTCTTACTAAAGAAAACCATAGGGAGGTAAAATTCTTAGTTTTAGTTATTCTATACTAACATAATTTATATAAACTTTCTCATCCCTATCATTTCTCTTTTAATTCAATTGTGTGTAAATTGCTAATGAATATGCCCATGTGTAATAAAGATATGTTACCCCAAATGCCCTGGTACGGCCGAGAGTGGGGAGAGTCTACTCTCCCTCTCGAAATGCTCTCATATGGCCATCGAATATATAGCCTCTGCCAGGAAAGTCCTACTCACTGCCTTCTCGTGGCGGGGGTGTTGTTTACGAAAGTGAAAGGACGAAAAGCGAATGTCCGGCGATTTAACCGGGTTGGTGGACACGGAGAGTCCACCTAGGGGAGTTGGAAAACCCTGATTCCAAACCAATGGTGCACATGGGCTCCAGTATCCTGAGGGAACGAATGGCGTATGAAAAAATCGTTGATCACCGACTACCATGGGACTGCATCTCCTCACAATGCTCCACTGCCTTGTGGATCAGACCTTTTGGTCAAAGGCTCGGGGTGTGGCCCCCTAAGAAAACCACCTGCTTCGGTTTGGGCACCCGAGCAGTATCACAGCCCACACACAAATAAATGAAATGATGAATTCTATTGACGATACTATTCCTGCTCATACTAGAAGCAAGACAATTTACATTATTATTATTATTATTATTATTATTATTATTATTATTATTATTATTATTATTTACCATATCCTTTCATCCCCAAATTGTGTAACCTTACTTTTCAACTTATGCAACAGCTCGCCCATGGTGGAAAATCTGTCCTATCTAAACGATCTCCAGTCACAGTCTGGTTGAAAGTGAATGCTTCCACCGATTACGAATACTGAAGCAGTCTTTCTGAAACCACGTACGCCGTTCAAGCTGGCTTCGCACACTAATGCATATCAGACAACAGATAGGGCTGGCTATGTCTTTGGAAGGTCTTAATGTTGATGTTTGTTGTCTATCCGAGACCCGTATTCAAGACTCTAGTGAAGTACTACAAATCCGCTCTCCATCGGTCGCCTCGAAAAGCTTGTTCCACGTGCGCTTATCCGGGGACCCTGTGGCATTTTCGTCTGGTCTTGCTGGCGTTGGTGTCGCACTAAGCGCTAGGGCTGAGGCAGCACTAATCGATTGGATCCCCATTAACAGTCGGTTATGTGCTGTTAGATTAGAAAGTTCCATCAAAGTGAGAAGAAATCGGCGTGAGAAACGGTGTCTTTTCGTTATCTCCGCCTATGCCCCGACAGATTGCGGCCCGGATGCAATCAAGGATGAGTTTTACCATCAGTTAACAGTTCTTCTCCAGAAAGCGCGTTCGACAGATATTGTAGTACTAGCCGGAGACTTGAATGCGCAGGTCGGGCGTCTAGGCACAGAAGAGAGTCGTCTAGGTGGCCGATGGGGACTTGTTGGTCGCAGGACAGATAACGGGGACCGTTTGCTGCAACTGTGCACAGACCACAACCTGTTTCTGGCCAGCACTAACTTCCGGCACAGTCATCGCCGGTGTGCCACGTGGCGTCCTCCCTCTGCATCCCAAGCCTGGACTCAGATTGATCACATCGCGATCAGCTACCGCTGGCGTGGTTGTGTACAAAACTGCCGCTCCTTTTGGAGTACCTATCTGGAGTCTGATCATGCCCTGGTCTGCGCCAATCTCACCTTACTTTTCAGTGGCCGAAGGATTGACCACCACCAACGGATCGATGTTAGTAAACTGGCTGCAACTTCTGTTGCAAGTAAGTATCGAGCGGAGCTAGCCTCTAGGCTAGCTACCACCCCACCGAAAAGTATAGATGAGCATTGGTTGCATCTTCACGACGCCATGAAAATGGCGAGTAAAGTCGCTTGCGGCTTCGCGAAACGTCCCGCTTACAAGCACTGGGTTTCTTCTGGCTCCTTACAACTGATGGAAGCCCGTCGGTCTACTCCGGGTGACCGTGAGTTTGACCACAAACGAAGGCTGTTACGTAATGAAATCGGGCAAAGCTTGCGTAAGGACCGAGAAGCCTGGTGGTCGGAGTGTGTTAATGAGATGGAAGCAGCAGCTGCATCTGGTAACTGCCGGAAGCTCTTCCAACTCATCCGAGCCACTGGCAGCAAGAAGTCTGGTGTAAGTGAAACAATCTACGAGGATGATGAGATGCCAATCACTAATATCTCTCGTTGTCTTGGACGATGGGCGGAATTCTTCGAAGGTCAGTTCGACTGGGCTGCTGCTCCGGCAACATCAACCAGCTTGTCCTGCTCCCCACGGCCAGTGACGACTGATCCACCAAACGAGGTGGAAGTCCACAAGGAACTCCAACTCTTGAAACGTTATAAATCACCTGGCCCAGATGACTTACCTCCGGCTCTTTTTAAAGATGGTGGTGACTTTCTGGCTAAGGAACTGACTGTGTTGTTTGGAAAGATTTGGGAGCAAGAAAGTGTTCCAACATCATGGAATGAGTCAGTAGTCGTCCCTATCTTTAAAAAGGGCTCACGTTGTTCCTGCAATAACTATCGGGGGATAAGTCTACTTTCGATTGCGTCCAAACTATTGGCTTCTATCATTCTTCGTAGGTTGTTTAAAACCCGAGAACGATTGACTCGAGAGAAGCAGGCTGGTTTTCGTTCCGGTCGAGGATGCATTGATCACATCTTCACCCTCCGCCAAATGTTAGAACACCGTCATACTTATCGCAGGCCAACAATCGTAGTGTTTCTTGATATCAGGGCGGCCTTCGATTCGTTGGACAGGACTGTTCTCTGGGATTGTCTATTGAAGAAGGGTGTGCCTGAGAAGTTCATTAACATCTTAAAGGCCCTGTATACGAACACCTCAGGCAGAGTGAGGGCATACAACCACCTTTCTCCCTTGTTCCATTCGAGCAGTGGGGTTAGGCAGGGTTGCCCGATCTCACCATTCCTCTTCAACTTTGCTATCGACGACATCCTGGAAATAGCTCTGATGGATGTAAGTAATGGCGGTGTGGATATGTTGCCTGGAGAACGACTTTTCGACCTTGATTATGCGGATGATATTGTCTTACTGTGCGATAATGCTCAAGCCATGCAATCCGCACTTAATCAGTTGGCAATCAGTGTCCGCAGGTACGGCATGTGCTTTACACCCTCCAAGTGCAAAGTACTCCTACAAGACTGGCAGGATTCTCATCCTGTACTCACCCTGGATGGTGAGCAGATTGAAGTAGTTGAGAAGTTCGTGTATCTAGGTAGCTATATAAGTGCTGGTGGTGGCGTGAGTGATGAGATTGATGCACGTATAATGAAAGCCAGAGCGGCTTATGCCAACCTGGGCCATCTTTGGCGCCCTCATGATGTGAGTCTGTCTGTAAAAGGTCGGATCTACAACGCGTCGGTGAGAGCAGTTTTGCTCTATGCTTGTGAAACCTGGCCTCTCCGAGTTGAGGATGTTAGATGACTCTCTGTGTTCGATCATCGTTGTCTCCGAATTATTGCTGACATCCAGTGGCAACACCATGTTAGTAATGCAGAGGTTCGGCATCGTGTGTTCGGGCGCAGAGACGATAATTCGATTGGTGTCACCATCTTGAAACACCGACTTCGGTGGCTTGGACATGTTTTACGAATGTCGTCCCAGAGACTTCCACGTCGTGCATTATTTGCCGACCCTGGGACTGGTTGGAGAAAGCGGAGAGGAGGTCAGTGTATGACAGGGTGTCGTGGCATGAAAGAAAGCTGTAAAGCTGTTGTTCCTTCACGACTCCCCAGCTGGGGTCCGAGAGATGGTGCAACACAGTGGCTAGAGACGTTATCAGATATGGCTCAGAATAGAAGCCAGTGGCGACCCTGCTGCAACCTTCTTTTACTTTCTACATAAAGAATGGTTCTAACTTTCTTAACTGAAAGAGTCTTCTGGTTGTACATTTCAGTCCGCCTTATCTTTTCATCCTTTCTCTTCCTACTTTCATTATTTTGTGTGGCGCATATGTACCTGGTGCCCTTTTGTACCAATATATATGTGTTTAAATAATAAATATGTTACCATAAAATTCAAAAAGAGAAATGATATAATGTCGAAGTATCGAAAACATGAGCATTTAAATAATAATAATGGTAAAAACCGTAGGGATCATCAACTAAAAATTATTTACATTTCGTTGAATAAAATTGGTTGCTGCAAATCGATGCAACACAAATAACCCAAAAGAATCCAAAGCTTACTTACTTACTTACTTTCGCCTGTTACTCCCAATGGAGCATAGGCCGCCGACCAGTATTCTCCAACCCACTCTGTTCTCGGCCTTCTTTTCTAGTTCTATCCAGTTCTTGTTCATTCTTCTCATGTCTGTCTCTATTTCTCGGCGTAATGTGTTCTCTGGTCTTCTTCTTCTCCTTTGACCTTCAGGATTCCATGTGAATCCAAAGACTATCTAACAAAGGTCCTAACCATTCTTATATTTCCAAATTACTGATGATTGGTTTCTTCTGTGTATATTAATATCTACTCATAGATGAGATTTAAAAACCTATATGCTTCTACTTGTTTTTTTTTTCGGTAGCCTACAATCTAATTCTTATTTTATGGAGACTATCATCATATTAAATTAAAAACGGGTCTTAAGTATGAGGTTAATATCCATAGAGTTAATCAGTAATTAGATTTAAAGACTAAGTTTGATAGAATAATTTATTTTGATCAGGTTTGGTAAGAATTTCCACATCTTGATACCAATCGAATTGTTTATATACTCCACAGGTAGGTACAGGTTTGTGAACTACTACTTAATATCTAGATGTTTTATAAAAATAACAGACAACATTTGATAATGTCTCAAACCACTGTGTTGCACTATATGACGTCAATTAGGGAGCCTTGAAGAACCGATAGATATCAATCCTGTATAGCTTTCTTGCATACCACAATGCCATATCAGATACTGACCACCTCTGCGCTTTTTCTAACCAGTTTCAGCGTCAGCATATAATGCATGACGTGGAATTCACTGGAACAACATTTGTAGTACATGTTCAAGGCACCGAAGTTGATGTTTCACAATGGTAATACCAATCGAATTATCATCGACTCAATTTGAACTAATGACATCTTGGTTAAAATTTCAAAGCTTAAACCAATGTAAAAGAATATTACCTGTAACTAAACTTACCGAAACACTACACCAATCCTTACAAATAGTCATTTAAAGTTTTTCTTTAGAAGCAGGATAGTGTCGTTATCCGTGACACAATCATTAATTATAACTTTCACAGACTAACATGTGTTTCACCTAGTAGAATAATTAAAAAAGTACTTACTGTACGATTACAAACAGATTCCGTATACAATGATTTCATTAAAACCAATCGTTGGTGAAGTTCGTCGGGAAGAACTTTTAGAAGAATGGGAAAAGAAGAAAGCTGCGTTGGTAAGTTAATCTGTTTTATTTTAATTTTCTTATTTATTTATTTTAACACATGAATATTAGTACGAAGGGGCTTCGAATACATATTGTCTAGGCGATACGGCAGAGCGTAAACGCGTTCGTGCGAGCAAAATGGACAACAGAAGGAAACGTGCGTTTGGTATAGTTAAACAAACAAGTACAATACAACAATCACATGGTACAATCGGTTATAATAAAAATTTTTTCCATTATACCAATTGCGTTATCGTGTTCCGATCATTATATAATTCATGTTCTACCTAAAGTGTATGGCAAGATTGGAAAGAGTATACTCTTACATCAGACAAAGATATCAAATACATGAAAAACTCAGAAGAAAATAACCAAAATTTGAATAACACGTTTCGAACGATAAACTGGAAAGTATTCACAAATGATGCATTGGAAAACACCGTTGATGCTATCACTCGTTATTTTTAATTCCGTTTTGATATTCGTTGTCCCACTGAAACAATTTTCGTAAGTTTTGATCGACTTACATCTTCACAGCTAAAACGATTACGGAGGGTAGAAAAAATAATGTACACGGAGAAAAGATCCATTGAATTTCGAAAGCTAAATGGTCAAATAAACCTAGAGATTAGATGTCTGAACTCAGTGTTCACCCAGAAACTCCTATCTTGTTAAACCTCTTCAAGTATGTAGAAGCTATTAAAAAAACTCACAGGTGAGAGACATTAAAAATAACAACCAGTTGAATGTTTGCGAATTAAATAAGTCTTTTGTACGTCAGTTATCTGATGTCCTACTTCTTATATCCATAGGTTTGAAGAATAGTTGTTTTTCAATTTTCACTGAAATTGATGTCCGAAAATGTCTTCAGTCACCTGACTCATCTCAATGGTTAGGACCTGATGAAATCTCAAACCTTCTTTCTAAGAAGTGTCCTAACGTTTTGTATTATCCATTCACGAGCCTTTTTAACGAATTCTTCTCAACTAATCTCACACCGAAAGTGTAGAGAAAGATAAGGGTAATCGCAATACCTAAAAAGTATCTGGCGATAAGAATGTGAAATTTAGACTCATAGCAATAACTTCACCATTTTTCTCAAAACATTGGAAAAATTATTGCTACCCCCACTTTAACCTGCACTAAAAGAGCACATTTATCCGTATCAGTCTGCTTACAAATGCAAAAGAAGCACCCTAGATGCTGCTGTTGTTTTGCATCATAAGAAGTATGTTCGATGCGCATTTTTAGGTTGTTTCTGTCTTCGATTGTATTCCAAGACAACTTCTACTCAACAAGTTAATTAACGTCAACACTGACAGCTGGATAACCAACTGGCTGTTCCTACCTCTCCGTAAGCGAAGAGTATACTCTTCTTGGAGGAAAGTATTCAACGTTTCTACTGAATCTTGATGGTGTATCACAAGGAGTTATCCTTTCCCCTCTTCTTGCCTCCTTCTTTCTAAATGATCTACCATCTTCCACAGAAAACGTTTTTTTGTTAAATATGCGGACAATCTCATTGTGTGAATGCCAATTTCTACCTCTTTACATACCCTTGAAATGAATGAGTTCTTATCTCGTATTGAATGGTAGTCTGTTAACGGTCTCACACTAAATCTGTCTAAATGTAAAACTGTTAACTTTAGTCTGAGACATGAACAGCACCTAAACACGCTGTTGGAATCCCACAAAGCTTTTACTATTGGAGATTCTTTGATAAACTCAGTGTGAAAAGTCATTTACCTTGGTGTAAATGTTCCCTCTATCTCCCTGGTCTTCTCATATTTTACTGTTATCGAAGAAAGTCTCCCGTCCGACATACCACATAAAGAGGCTGCATACTTTTGGGATTACTCGATATTTACTCCTACGATTTGTCGATTTTTACACATTACCTATTATTCTTCCCCGAGTTTTTGAGAAAAGACTTTGCTGTATTGCGGAGAGTGTTGAAATCAGTTAGCAGGGTGTGTGGTGACCTTTTTAAGGTCATTATTAATATGACTGTGGATAGACTTCTAAGGTCTTGCAAACTCCTGGCAGGTGTCATCTTACCAGATACTAACCATTCACTTCACTCATGCCTTTCTCCTTGTATATCTTGTAGTAAAACGAAGCGACAATACGATAGAATTTATGCACTCAAGCAAAGATATAAGAGCTAATCAGTACCTTATCTGTCAGATATATTATGTAACAAACAGGCTGTTAGCGGTAACCTAGTAAATAACTTATATTCTTAAACATGTTTTTAATTAAAAAGCTATGTAAATTCAAATCTTCATTTAAAAAAATTTAATTCCAGGTGCTTTATTTACTTAACTTATGTGCATATGTATAAAGTTATCAGTTTCACTTTTTTTTATCTTTATAAATATAATATAATAAATACAATATTGAAGAAAGCCATCAATGATAAGAGTAATAATAATAATAAATCCAAAATTATCAAAAATTAGTTAGAGAGAGAAAAGTCAATGTCATCATCATTCAATATTCAGTGTTTTATTATTCTGATTTATGAATGTATACACATGATTTTGCATATCATTCAACTACTAATGTGGTAATTTGACGTTAATTTCACACGAGAACTAACCAAAGAATAGATTATGATGGGTAAAGAAGGAGTAATAGATTCATTTAATATTATCTCTTCTACTCTAAGTTATAAAACCAAGAAAAGTGTGGTGTTTGAATGAACCAATGATTCTTTTGTATTGATGAATGTTTTGATTTTGAATTCCAAATACAGTACATTCGTTTGTGCTCACCTAATACTTCTTGATTCAATTGCGTTATTGCTGAGATTACTAGTTCATACTATAGTTCAAATACTCCTAATTATCTGAAAAAGACAAATTAAATAACAGTGTAATAAAATAATGAAGAAAGCTTCTGGATATTGATCTTGTTCGTAGATTATATCAATCACTGTAAATCACTTGGGAGTATTTGTAAAGTATCCAGCTTTAATAAAATGTTTATCAGAAGTTCACAACTACGACTCCTCTACAAAGGAGGTTGGAATACAGAACCTTTAGGTCATGACGCTAACAGTTAAATTTAGACCACTTATTTGGTACTTAAAAATAGTTCAGATGTCTAAATTGATTCGGTTTTTCATACTGCATAATTACCATCCATTTTCATCTTTGATTTCTGTCTCTACCATAATGTAATGAACAAGAACATAAGTGGGGACAATCGGATGTATTTGAACACAAAATTACAGAACATCTTAGTAAAATCTAAGAACCATACAGTAAATACTTAATTTGCAAAGTGTCAATCAATTATCTCAAACTTGACTGTTCCTTTTGCAAATCAGTCAATCAGACTCCTTCGTTTCCACACCAATCATTCTTTGTTCTTGTTCTTTTTTCTTTGATCTTCTTAACCTTCTGCCACCAGACACTTCACTTTTTTGATTATAGATACATAGTACTTATATCTGTCGACATCAACAGCACACACCACAATAACATTTTTGAAATTCAACAATTCAATTTCGAGAGCTTCGCTGAAAGTTGATTAATAATGATCAAATGACTAATATTTTTACAAGAACTGTTTCTCACTCAGACAGAATAGTTGTTCAATAAAATTTTGATCATTTAGTCATAACCATAGTGGAAACTAGTATATATGCATATCAGTTCATGTAGACATACTGAATCAGCTCAGTAGGATAAAATTATCAAGACAAATTCTAGAGTAGTAACAGTAACAGAAAACATTAAGCCTAGAATGTATGGTTCGGAAAGAAAGAATGAATTCGCCGAACAGTAAATACCTAAGATAACTTTAAAACTAATAAGAGACGAAAATATTCACCCAGCTTACCCAACTATTAGTTACGATAATAACTTTGATCTCGACCAGACAGTTTACCATCCCTAGAGGAACTGTGGGCGCACATGGCTAAGGAGTCTATACTAGAACATACAAGGATAATTTCTACTTAACTTTGATTATTCGGATTATCCCATCGTTGGTATTTGACTGAAACATGATCAGTCTTAGCATTTGTACAATTTCAATCAATTTTAATACTATCCTTTTGTTTTACCAAGTGGTCTGTAGTTAAATGTTCAGTAATTTAATAAACCATCTTAGCTAAACTAAACAATGTATATTATACCTTGGATCATATGTCTTACAATTTTTTAACACTTATAGATTGTGTATCGGATGGGTAAATTTGTTTGAACAAATACCTTTTCTATATCATGCCATGAACAATTATGACAGTAAAAAAATACTTCAAATTAGACCTTGTCTTTAATAAGAAATATTTATAAAACACAATTAAAATACAATAGTGTCGAGTTGATTTAATTTTAAATTGAACAATGGGCAATAACTATTCATATATCACTCAACCAAGACACTCGAATCAAGAGAATATAAGCGTACGAATGAAATTTAAAGTAGTGACTGAAAGACTGTTAATCCACCTAAGACATAGCTGTTCACTAAAGTAATAAAACAACTACATTAAACTGGTGAGTCATAGACAATGAGTGGAGTAAAGTGAAAATAAATTAATCAGTATCCATAATAACTATTAAACATTACCTTATAGCTTAGTCTAGTCTTATCCACAGAAAGATAGAAAGTATTCATCTACACAGTAAATACTGGAAGAAAATAGGAAACAGTTATGATTCATGACCTATTAAACTACACTTTTAAGTAATCAGTTTTTTCTCTTAAATATCAACCATTTTAAAACAAACAGATACATTACAGTATTACTGTACCTATCCTACCTTATTCCGTCTTATCCTAGCTCATTACAAAAATAATTCACCGAAACATTAATAATCCTTCTACGTTTGAAAACAATTATTTTAGGCAGATTATAACTATAAATCGAGAAAAAGTGTATCGTTAATGGAAAAATTATGTTTTCTCTCTTACTAATATATATATATATATATATATATATATATATATATATACTCTTTCTGGATTTATCCTTCCACCATAGTACAGCATCCACAAAAATT